GGGGGGGGGGGGGGGGGGGGAGTCACCCACTGGTATTTTTGCACAATTTTTTCCCGATTGTCTCGTTTTGGGACAACGGCTTAGTAAATGACAATAGTCTAAAGATTCTTTTTGAGCAAACTAAAAATTTTATGAGAAAGGATAGACAACAATCTAAAATTTTGTAAGTTATTGCAATTTGCAAATATTAGACGACACTCTAATATTTTGTTAGCAAAGTTGAGCAGTATATGAGCAAATATTAGACTCGAGTCTGGCATTGTCCGTAAGTATAATTTTTAAGGGCTATATTTGTACAACCTTTTAAACATAGGGACAAAATCTAAATAGTAGCCTATAAGAGGGACATTTGTGTAAATCAGCCGTGTTTTGGAGAAGCAAAAGTGGGCCAGAAATGAAAAGTGAGCTAACGAGATATGGGCCTCCAACAAAGCCCATAAGGTTTCACAAAATTCAGAACTAAGTGTACCATAAATTAGCTTTTTGTGGGGTTAAAAGGCAGCAAACAATAAATAAAAACTAACCTTTGAGAAGGCAACTTGTTTGGTTCTTGAATCAGGTTTATCAATTTGTCCCAACCATGTCACATGTGAAACCACACACGTACAAAAGCTATACACCAACAATTATAAAAATAAAAAGTAAAACTAAATGCATTATGGACAGCGGCGGAGCCTAAAATTTCATCAAGGGGTGTCAAAATATAAAAAATTAGATACAAAAAGTTAGGAGAATCAACGTATAGTAAATATACATAAAATAAAATAAAAATTATCTAGCAATATAGTGTAATTTTCCGGTGAAGGAGTGCCGCATGACATCCCTTAGTTCAATGTGGCTCCGCCACTGAATATGGGATCATAAAACTTACACAGTCTGTGATTTTGGATATTTGTAAATGGAACGTAAGATGAGAGAGGCAGAAATCTGATGAATATAGTATGAAAATTATTGTTCCAAAGCGGAGCGGATTTGAAGTCTATAAGTTCTGAACTTATTATTAAACTCCTACCTTATTTTAAATATTGGGTTAATAAATAAATATTTATACCTATTGAGTGTATTTCCTACTGCAAATACAAGGTCTAAGCAAAAGTTATTGGGTTCATCTTATTTATACCTTATATAGCATGTTTGGCTAAGTTTCTAAAATCAAATTATTTTAGAAAAATATTTTTCTCAAAAGTACTTTTAAAAAAAAAAGACTTTTGGTGAGAAGTAGTTGAGATTTGACTAATTAATTTGAAACATACTTTTGATGGACCATTAGTGTTTGGTCAAGTTTTAGAAAGTGTTTCTCTGTATATTATTTTTAGAAGAGTTTTTCAATATTTTCTCAAAAGTATATTTCAAAAAAGTATTTTTGGAAATAAACTATTTTTTTCTGCTTCTTGCTTCCACTCAAAATTACTTTTTTTCCTTCTAAAAACTTGATCAAACACATTAACTTTGGGATAAAAAAACTTTTGGCAAAAAAAAAAGAAGAGTACATTTGGCTAACAAGAAGTGTGGCCAAACAAACTATAAGACTCTACCTCCGCCTTTGACCAAAAATACATAGCACATAACACTGATAATAACTCTTGTTATAATAACAATAACAACAATAACGATTATAATAATAATTATAATATTTAGGAACAGAACTATCTTTAGCGAATGACAGTTGAATATTCNATATAAATGAGAGTAGGGTGTACGAACACTGCACTTAACTATAGGGTATACGAACACTGCACTAAACTATTGTACAAACAGTTTGTTGGACTGTACTATAAATTTGGACTTCGGTCATTGGTGAATGAATCTATTTACCTTCTCTAGGGACACGTCTATTGTAATTTCAATTGCAGCCCTTCAATTTTTCTTTTTTGGGCTGAAACGTGTCTACCATTTTTATTACGTGGGACATCTGGCATGCACTTCTCTTTTATTTCCCATTCTCCTCCTTCGTTCTTACCCTATGGTTTCTGTTT